AATCAAAGTAATAAAGTGAGCGCTGTCCACTTTGTATTCTGTGTTGTAATTGAAATCAATATATTTGAAAGTGCAGAAGACACCCAAAAATAGGATACAGAGGGACCTAGACAAATCGGAGGATTGCGCCAAAAGAAATCTGATGAGGTTCAAGAAGGACAAGTGCAGAGTCCTGCCCTTAGGACGGAAGAATCCCATGCACCGCTACAGACTAGGGACCGAATGGCTCGGCAGCAGTTCTGCAGAAAAGGACCTAGGGGTGACAGTGGACGAGAAGCTGGATATGGATCAACAGTGTGCCCTTGTTGCCAAGAAGGCCAATAGCATTTTGGGATGTATATGTAGGGACATTGCCAGCAGACCGAGGGACATGATCTTTCCCCTCTATTTGACATGGGTAAGGCCTCATCTGGAGTACTGTGTCCAGTTTTGGGCCCCACACAACAAGTAGGATGTGGAAAAATTGGAAAATGTCCAGCGGAGGGGAACAAAAATTATTAGGGGGCTGGAACACATGACTTACGAGGAGAGGCTGAGGGAACTGGGATTGTTTAGTCTGCGGAAGAGAAGAATGAGGGGGGATTTGATAGCTGCTTTCAAGTACCTGAAAAGGGGTTCCAAAGAGGATGGCTCTAGACTGTTCTCAGTGGTAGCGGATGACAGAACGAGGAGTAATGGTCCCAAGTTGCAGTGGGGGAGGTTTAGGTTGGATATTAGGAAAAACTTTTTCACTAGGAGGGTGGTGAAACACTGGAATGCGTTACCTAGGGAGGTGGTGGAATCTTCTTCCTTAGAAGTTTTTAAGGTCAGGCTTGACAAAGCCCTGGCTGGGATGATTTAATTGGGGATTGGTCCTGCATTGAGCAGGGGGTTGGACTAGATGACCTCCTGAGGTCCCTTCCAACCCTGATATTCTATGATTGTTTAATGCGATTAATCACATGGTAAATTTTTCTTTAATCATGTGGTTATTTTTTTAAAACGAGATCAGCCCTAGCTAAAACGCAACTCATCAACGCTATGTGACCAAATATACAAACTGAACATCCTTACATCAAGCTAACTAGTTTTCAAGTTTCCTTTGTCTAGCTGTAAATTGCTATTATCGTCGGCGATGGAAATAATTTTTCATCCCTCTGCGTGAAATCGATGCGTGCAGATAAAAAGCTAATCTTTCCGAGCCTGAACCAGGGCATGACAGCAGTGTGGCTGATGGAAAAGTGAATCTAGAAAGGAAAGTCGCCCTATCAGAGGTGGAAGAAAAACTTTAAAAAGCGTAATGCTCTCAAATCCGTGGGGAGTGGATAGTTTCCAGCCCAGAATACTGAAAGAACTGGCATGTGAGATGGTTACTAGCAAAGATTTTGAATAAATTTATCTATTCGAGGGTAGTACCATATGAACGGCTAAGGATCGGTCTCGGGACAGATCTTATTCAGTAATTTTGTAAACGAGCTTGGCACAAAAATAAGGAGCGTACTCATGAAATTTGCTAACGATACAGCATTGGCACAGAGGAAGAGCTAGAAGGCGGGAGTGACAGAAATGGGCAGAAATTTAATAGTCCACAACAAAAATTTCTGCTACAAGCTGGGGCCGCGTCAGCTGGAAACAGCTGAGCAGGAGAGAGACCCGGGTGTGCAGGTGATGAGCCACCAACACGACGTGGCCGGGGAAATGGCAAAAATGCAATCTAGGCTGCATCGGGCGAGGTATTTCCAGGAGACGGAGTGACAGAAATATTAACGCCGTTGTAGACGGCAGGGGGAAGTCCCCATTGGAATACCGGCCGCAAATCTGGTCCCCCATATTCAAGAAAGATAAATTTGAACGTGAATAGTTGCGGAGAAGAGATCCTAGGACAACGAGGGTGACGGAGAACCCCGTCTTATGAGGGGAGACTGGATGAATCTGACTCGTTTAGGCTCACACATTGGGCGGGGGGGGGCTGACTGCTTTCTAGAAATACGTTAGGGCAGGCGAAGAGCTGTTGGAGCAAAAGGCCAGCATTGGATAAACTGAACAGGAACAAATTCAGGGGGGAAATACGAAAGTTTCTAACCATCCAAGGGGGCTCTGCCTCCCGATACAAGAAATGGGGGCAACCAGCAAAGTGAGTTTTCACAGAGCGTGCAAATGTATAACAGGGCTGCTTGTGTGGGGGGCAGGACTTGGCAGCGCTGGGGGTCCCTTTATGTTCCTAATGCTCATGCGTCCGGGCTGCGGCCAGCCAGCATCTGAGGTCAGGAAGGGTTTGTTTGTTTTTTAAATAAAACCTCAATGTATTCAGGGAGGTTATTTTTAAATTTCCTTCTTCCTTCTCTCGGGTACTTGGCTGGCTGGTTCTTGCTCATACTCTCAGGGTCTAATGGATCTTGGGGAGGGTTTCACCTTCCTCTTCAGCATGGGACACAGGACACTTGCCAGGATTATCTGGGTCTCTCTCCTTGAATAGTCTCCCTCGGGCACCTCGTCCCGCCTGCTCTCTGCCTAGGGCACATAACAGTCTAGCCTCCTTTGGCCCCACTCCAGCTGTGGCCTCTGCCAGACAGGTCAGACCAGCCTCGACCCCCACGGGCGGGCGCAGCAGGGGGCGTTCACTCACCAGTCTCGGCGCATGCGTTTCTGGGGGGGGCTGAGCTCGTGCCGGGGGGGAGAGAAACGCTCCCGGCGGTTGCGGTCGTAGTCCCGGTACTCGCCCCGGCTCCGGCGCTCCCGGCCGCGGTCCCATTCCCTGCGGGGGCAGACACACCAATCACACCCCGATATATCCCTCCGCCAGAGGACAGCTGCACTCCCCCCCCCCCCCCGCCGCCGATATATCGCTCTGCTCCTGCCCCCAGCAAATCACCCCTCCACATGTACCCCTTGGGGCAAATCACCCACCCACACGTATCCCTCCACCTCGGGAGCAAGACGTCCACACAGAGGTAACCCTTCGCCCGGGGAATCGAAGCCAGAGGCTGCTCCAGACGCTCCCCGGACCCCCCCGCACCTGTCATTCCAGTCGTCTCGCCGCCGGTCGTCGCGCTCCCGGGAGCGATCGTAGTCGCTTCTCTCCCGCCGGAACTTGTCCCGGCGCCGGCGGTCGTATTCGTCGTCGCTGTCGCCCATGGCGGCGGGAGACGAGGAGGGAGCTGCGCGGGGGGGGGGAAAGGGGTGGGGGTGGAAACGTGGCCCGAGGCGGAGATGGGAGAAGCCAGGGCTGGAGCAGCTGGGACCCCCCTTTGGAGCCGGTGTCCCAGCTCCTGCCCTCCCGCCCCCAGCCCCCTTACTGGCCCCCCAGCCCCCTAAGCGCAAGCCCGGCTTCTCCCCCAAACCCCAGCTCCCCTGGAAGGGAGGCAACTTCCCCCAGCCCAGCTCCCCGCGAGGCCCTTTGATGTGACCTTCCCCCCTCATCGCCTCCCCTCCCGCGGCCCTGTACCTCTTCGAGCCGGGAAACTCCCCCCCCCCGCCCCGGCGCCCCCTGCCCCAAATCTCCTTCCGCCCCCCGCCCCCTCCCCCCCAAATCTCCTTCCGCCCCCCCCCCGGCGCCCCCCCCCCCAAATCTCACCCCTCCCTCCCGCCCCGGCGCCTCCCCCCCCAAATCTCCTTCCGCCCCCCCCGCCCCCTCCCGCCCCAAATCTCCTTCCGCCCCCCCCGCCCCGGCGCCTCCCCCCCCCAAAATCTCACCCCTCCCTCCCGCCCCGGCGCCTCCCCCCCCAAATCTCCTTCCGCCCCCCCCCCCGTCGCCTCCCCCCCCCAAATCTCCTTCCGCCCCCCGCCCCAAATCTCCTTCCGCCCCCCGCCCCGGCGCCTCCCCCCCCAAATCTCCTTCCGCCCCCCGCCCCAAATCTCCTTCCGCCCCCCCCCCCCGGCGCCTCCCCCCCCCCAAAATCTCACCCTCCCTCCCGCCCCCGCCTCCCCCCAAATCTCCTTCCGCCCCCCCCGCCCCGGCGCCTCCCCCCCCCAAAATCTCACCCCTCCCTCCCGCCCCGGCGCCTCCCCCCCAAATCTCCTTCCGCGCCCCCCCCCCAAAATCTCCCCCCCCCGGCGCCTCGCCCCCCAGCTCGGCCCCCCAGCCCGTGTCTCACTCTCGCTCTCGGCGCTCGCGCTGCCGCCTCCGGCTCCGGCTCCTCCCCGTGCGCGCCCCGCTCGCTTCCTGCCGCCCGCCGGGTCCCCGGATGCGGGAGCCGGAAGCGGAAGCGGCGCCTCGGGGGCGGAAACCGGAAGTGCACGGACTCTATGGTTCCGGCGAGGCGCTCTGGGACGAAGGCGGAACCGCCCTCTATGGTGCCTGCGCGGGGCGGGGCGGGCGCTCTCTCTAGGGCGGGAGACTCCTAGACGGGGGGGGAACGCTACGGTACGGGTGAGGGGGACACTCTAGGAATTCGGGACTCTATGGTAAAAGGAGGCGGACCGAGGAGCGACGCGCTAGGGGGCAGTGCAGCCCTCCATGGTGCCGGCGGGCCGCTCTAGGTCGGGAGAACTCTATGGTGCGGGCAGGAGGGACGCTCTAGAGCGAGGTGCACCTCTATGGTAGAGTCGAGCGATGCTCTAGGAGAAGGGAGCCCACTCTATCTCCCCGGTAGGAGAGCGGCACAGCTCGGGGGGGGGGGTCTGGACGCTCTAGGGCGGTGAGACTCTATGGTGCCACGGGAGACACTCTAAACCACAGGCCAACTCTATGGTGCGACAGGAGCCGCTCTAGCCCGCTCCCCCTCTATGGCGCACAGGGAGACACTCTAGGGAGGGAAAACTCTATGATGGCCAAGCCCCCTGCCCCTCCCTCTCCCGGACTCCTGGGTTCCCTCTCTCCCCTGCCCTGGGAAGGGAGTGGGGGCTGGCGGTCGGAGCAGGGGGGGCTGGAAGCCAGGACTCCTGGGTTCTCTCCCTGTGCCCAGTAGCCCCCCCCCCGTCCACCATCTTCCTGGCCCTGGTGGGTCTGATCACAGCGGGGGGGGGGGGGCTTAGTGGGGGTACCAGGCTGGGGGGGGGGGAACGAAGCACCGAGGCAGGTGTTTTTATTAAAAATCCCAACATTTAATGTATTTCCAGTAAACAGGCAGACACTGCGAAACCCGAGGCAGGAGGGGTTGGAGCAGCGGGGGGGAATCACAGATTTAAAGAGAAAAGTCCCCCCCCACCCACACCAAGACCGAACCCCAGGCTGCCTTCACAGGACCTCTGGGGGACGCCCCCATCTGCGGGGGCGGGAGAGACGAAAGGGGAGCCTCCCTCTTCACCCCCCCCCCCGGGCTGGAAACATACAAGGATGCAAAAAGAAGGGGGGCAGAGTTGGCAGGCGGATGCGGGGGGTTGCAACACATCACAGAGGGTCACTGGAGGTCCAGGAGGTATCCCAGAATTCCCTGAGAAGAGGAGTGGGAGGGAGAGCGGCATTTCCCATCATCCTCCAAGGCGGATGCTCTGGATTATCTGGAAGATAGCTGGGGGTGGGGGGAGAAGGGTGCAGAGTGAGGCTGGTGGGCGGGGGGGGCTCTCAGGGGCACAGCTTGGGGTAATAGGAGGGGCTTGTTCTCAGGCTCCTCCCCCTCCCAAGGGCAGCTGGGTTGTGTACCTAACTGCAGGGATGGGCAGGCCAAGGTCCAGAGGAACTTCGAGGAGCTGAACCCCTAACTCAGGGCTGGCCTGTCTGGTCCCATTAGTAGGTTTCAGAGTCAACACCTAGGGGCACCGCTCTATCGTTGATGCTGCTGGGACAGTACATCCCCAGGGGAAGCTTCTCCCATCTCTGACAGCAGTAGGGGCCAGAGTCAACAACCCCGGTCCTCCAGCTGTCACCACCACTGTCGCCATTAACCCATCACACGTCCAGCTAACTAACTTAGTTGTCAGTAGACTTCAGAATGAACACCATCCATGGGGCAGCGGCCGTTCTTAAAGGGCAGACCAAGCACCCTACATGGGAGCAGTTTATGCCTCATACGTTTCAGACTAAATTTCCACCCAAAGCGCTCTCCCAGCGCTAAGTACACTCTGAAACCTAATGATTGAATATGGCGAAACCTTCTGATATCCACAGGCAGAATGGACACATTCACGCACACGGCTCCCATCATTAGGTTTCAGAGTCAACACACCTGCATGCAGCATACGCCCGTCTCTAGCTCCCAACATTAAATTTTGGGACGAACACGACACATGGGGCTGAAGTGCATCAGGCCCCCCTTTCCTTGGTTCAAGAGTTAACCCCACAATTGCCCGCATTATTAGGTTCTTGTGTAGATGTCTCGTACGGGTGGTGCTCCTGCCTCTAGTCCCAATCATCAGGTCCCGGGGTAAACAGTCTGTTCCTCTTGGATTCCCACCATTAGGCCTCAGGGTAAACACCATGCAATGAACCATGATGCCATAACTAGGAAGCAGCATCAACACCCAGGAAGGGACATGGTCTGCGTCTCTCTCACCATTAAGCTTCAGGGTGAACGCTATAAATCCTTCCCAATGGAAAGCGTCAAGAGAACAGGCAGATCTCGGTCCCTAAGCCCCCCATCATTAGGATCCAGAGTGAACAGACCATCCCACCCGACTGACCTGAGCCACAGACCACGAACACGAACAGGGCCAGCAACCATGGCCCCACGGCGGCTTTCTCCTCTGGGGGGGCTTTCTGTGTGGGCCAGAGAGAGCGTTAGGGATGGGAAATCGCCCCCCCCAGCCCTGCCGGTGCCCCCCCACTCCCGCCCCCCAGCCCTGCCAGTGCCCCCCCGCTCCCGACCCCCAGCCCCCCCCAGCCCCGCCGGTGCCCCCCCGCTCCCGACCCCCAGCCCCCCAGCCCTGCCAGTGCCCCCCCACTCCCGCCCCCCAGCCCTGCCAGTGCCCCCCCCACCCCCCTGCTCCCCCCAGCCCTGCCGGTGCCCCCCCGCTCCCGACCCCCAGCACTCCCCCAGCCCTGCCGGTGCCCCCCCGCTCCCGACCCCCAGCCCCCCCCAGCCCTGCCGGTGCCCCCCCGCTCCCGACCCCCCTGCCCCCCCAGCCCTGCCGGTGCCCCCCCGCTCCCGACCCCCAGCCCCCCCCAGCCCTGCCGGTGCCCCCCCGCTCCCGACCCCCCAGCACCCCCCAGCCCCGCCGGTGTCCCCCCGCTCCCGACCCCCCAGCCCCCCCAGCCCTGCCGGTGCCCCCCGCTCCCGACCCCCCAGCCCCCCCCAGCCCTGCCGGTGCCCCCCCCGCTCCCACCCCCCAGCCCTGCCGGTGCCCCCCCGCTCCCGACCCCCAGCCCCCCCAGCCCCGCCGGTGCCCCCCCGCTCCCGACCCCCAGCCCCCCCAGCCCTGCCGGTGCCCCCCCGCTCCAGCCCCGCGGGTGCCCCCCCGTACCGGGGCGCGGTGCAGGCCCCCGCGCTGGGTGATGCTCTTGCTGTGCCGCTCGTTGGCCACCCTCATGCGCTGCACCCCGGACATGATCCCGCCGGGCCCCCCCGCTGGCTGGCCCAGACTCCGCGCCGCTCACGGCGCATGCGCCGGGGCAGGGCGCGGGGCGCGAAGTAAGTCGCCGGGCGCCGCAAGGCGCAGGCGCCCGCCCCGCGAGAGGCGGAAGTGACGCGACGGCCCTGCGCGGGCCTGACGTGGCGAGCTTTCGTCGCTCGCGTGACGTAGCAAGCCGGCGCTCAGCTGCCGCGCGGCACCTTTGCGCATGTGCGACACCTCTGGGCTCTTGCCCATGGGTGTTGTGGCGGGGGGACGCCATTTTCGAACGGCTCCTCTAATGCGCACGCGCAGCGGCTTGAAGCCAAGCTGAACGCAGTCATTGGTTCCCCCAGCGCCTCGCCCTGGGATGTCACGTGACAGGGGACGAGCGAAGCCATTTTGTCCTGCAGGCCGCATGGGCGTGGCCATCTTGGTTTCTTTTGCCACGTGATCAGGGAGAGAGGGCAATCTGGGGGAGGCCATCTTGACTCCCAGTTGTCATGTGATAAGGCGACATAAACAGCCCCCCCTCTTGTGAAAATAAGGTGGAGGGAACCCAGGAGTCCGAGCTCCGCCCCTTCTCTCCCCCCCAGCCCAGAGGGGGGGAGAGAACCCAGGAGTCCTGGCTCCCAGCCCCCCCTGCTGTAACCCACCAGCCCCCAGTCCCCTCCCAGAGTCAGGGAGAGAACCCAGGAGTCCTGGCTCCCAGCCCCCCCTGCTGTAACCCACCAGCCCCCAGTCCCCTCCCAGAGTCAGGGAGAGAACCCAGGAGTCCTGGCTCCCAGCCCTCTGCTCTAGATAGATTCGGGCGGTTTGGGGTTATTTGTCCCTAACTTCACGGGGGCCACAAGGAGACCACCCAAAACCCACCCCTGCCCCTCCAAACACCCCCCCTCAGATCTGCCAGCCCCCCGCCCTCCTCGGTGTAATCTGACAGTCAGCAGAATCCGCTCTGTTTTATTTTTTCCTCTGTCCAGGAAATTCCACCTCTGGTGCCAGACATTCATCTGCCCAGATAATTGTTCGGTTCCTGCAGGGTTGGGGGAGCGAGGGGAGCAGTGATTCCTCCTCCGGCGCGGAGATGCAGCCACCTCTGGGGCGGGGCGGCTGGTGACCCGGGGACCCCTCGCCCGGCCCTGAGATGCAGCCAGCTCTGGGGTGGGGCGGCTGGTGATACAGGGACCCCTCGCCCGGCGCTGAGATGCGGCCACCTCTGGGGCGGGGCACAGCTGGAGCTCCCCGCCCAGCCAACCGTGTTCACCAGGGGCCCCAGGCAGGGCAGGGCAGGGGCCACGGGACTGGCGGAGCCGGAGGAGCTGGGGAAATGAGGTGTCACATCCTGCCCTGACCCCGCTCCCCTCCCACGGAAACGGCAGAACAAAGGGAATTTCCTGACTGCCGGGAGAATAGAAACAAGGAGCAGGGACCAATGGGTAGCGTAAGGGGGGCTGGGAGCCAGGACTCCTGGGTTCTCTGCCCGGGTCTGGGAGGGGAGCGGGGTCCGGAGGGTTAGAACAGGCGGGCTGGGAGCCCGGACTCCTGGGTTCTCTCCCCGGCTCTGAGGCAGGTAACTTCTGCCCACAGCTGGGCTACAGGGACAGGATTCCCTCCTGGCTTGGCTCTGGTCTGCCCCCCTTGCCCAATGGGGGGGGGGGGCAGCGGAAGGGGCAGGGTGGGGTGTCCAGGGCCTGTTTTCCTTGGGCTCGCTGGAGCCAGGCAGGAAACCTGCTCAGAGAAGAGCAAACCACAGCCCCTGACGCAGGTCAATGCCGGGGGGCGGGGGGGAGAAGCCAAGGGGGCTGGACACTCCCTCAGCCCCTGGGCAGCTCCCAGCTCTGGGGGGCAGGGGTGGGCTCCTGGGTTAGAGCTGCCCACCCCTGCTCAGCACGGCCAGTCATGGCAAGGCCGAGAACCCAGGCGTCCTGGCTCCCAGCCTGCCCTGCTTTAACTCCCCAGCCCCCACTGCCGTCCCAGAGCCGGGGAGAGAACCCAGGCGTCCTGGCTCCTAGGCTGACAGCAGGTGGTCATAACAAAGCTAACAGCTCCAGCTCTGTGTGGCTGAGAGATTTGGGGTCACTGGGCAGGGAGCGGGGGGGAGGGGGAGTCGGCACCGGCTGGGCCCACGTGGCCTGGGACTTGGCAACACTGACCCACAGCTGAAAATGCAGCCGGGGGGCTGGGGAGTGAATGGGGTGGGGGGGGGGTTGATGGATGGAGGCGGAGCGGGGTAGGGGGGATGGAAGGAGGTTGAGGGGGTGAAGTGGAAGAGGGGGTGGGTGGGGGGAAGGGGGGATGGAGGGAGCTTGAGGGGGGATGGAGGCTTTGGGGGGGTGGGATAGGGGGAAGACAGGGTGGGAGGTGGTGTGGGGGGAAGGATGGAGGTCGAGGGGGGATGGAGATTAGGGTGGGGGGATGGAGGGGGGACGAGGGGGTGGGAGGAGGTGTGGGGAGAAGGAGATTTGGGTGGGGGGATGGAGGGTTTGGGGGTGTGGGTGGGATGGAGGGAGAGTGGGGGGACGAGGGGGTGGGAAGAGGTGTGGGGGGAAGGAGATTGGGGTGGGGGGGATGGAGGGTTTGAGGGGGGAATGGAGATTTTATACCCTGAACGTGTTCATCTCAGCCCAGACAGAGATCTGGGGGGGCCATGGGGGGCCGTGTGACTGCCTGGTGGCAGCCTGGGGTGGGGTGGGTTGGGGGGCAGGTTATGGGGCTGTGTCCTCGTTACCCCCCCATCACAGACCTATTGGTTCCAGGAACCTGCCCAATCAATCAACGCTCATTTCCCACAAGCTCGTTACCCCCCCCCGATCCCGCCCCCAGCCCCATGGAAACTCCCCCCCCCCCCCCGTCCCTGGGAAGCACCAGCGGGGGCCCCCCCATCTCCCCCGGCCTTATCTCCCCGCCCGGCCCTGCCAGGCCAGAGGGGTCAGGAAACAGACCCCTGGCTGGGGCGGGGGGGGGGGGGGGGCTGTCCCTGACCCTAGGGGGCACCGGTGCCCTGAGCCCGACCCCTGCGCCCCATAGAGGCCGTGGAGATAAATTAGTTCCAGGCCGTGCTGGGGGGGGGGGGGCAGGGCTGGGCTGGCAGGGGCTGCAGGTCGGGAGTGAGGGGCACCAGCAGGGCTGGGGGGGCGGGGGGAGCAGGGATGTTCCTTCGTCTGTCTGACACATCTGTCCAGATGTTCCTCATTGGGCCCCTTAACGTCTCTTTTTCCCTTCCCCTCTCCGTCCCCCTCGGGAGCGGGGTTGGAGGGGGGCGGGGGGAGATACTTGCCCCACAATCCACCCCCCCACCAGGGAGGAGGAGACCAGAGCCAGGGAGAGAACCCAGGAGTCCTGGCTCCCAGCCCCGCCCTGCTCTAACCCCCCAAGCCCCACTCCCCTCCCAGAGCCGGGGAGAGAACCCAGGCGTCCTGGCTCCCAGCCCCACCCTGCTCTAACCCCCCAACCCCCACTCCCCTCCCAGAGCTGGGGAGAGAACCCAGGTGTCCTGGCTCCCAGCCCCACCCTGCTCTAAGCTCCCAACCCCCACTCCCCTCCCAGAGCCGGGGAGAGAACCCAGGAGTCCTGGCTCCCAGCCCCCCCCTCCTCTAACCCCCCAACCCCCACTCCCCTCCCAGAGCCGGGGAGAGAACCCAGGTGTCCTGGCTCCCAGCCCCACCCTGCTCTAAGCCCCCAACCCCCACTCCCCTCCCAGAGCCAGGGAGAGAACCCAAGAGTCCTGGCTCCCAGCCCCCCCCTGCTCTAACCCCCCAACCCCCACTCCCCTCCCACAGCCGGGGAGAGAACCCAGGCGTCCTGGCTCCCAGCCCCCCTGCTCCACATTTCATTGTCCACCACTGACCAGGGAATCATGTGAAGAGTCCGTCCCCCCCCCCAGCTCTGGGCCCCCCAGTTCTGCTGGTGCCCCTCACTCCTGACCCACAGCCCCCTGCTAGCCCTGCCCTGGGTTGCTGGAAGGGAAGGGGGGGCAGACGTGAGGGGGAGGGTGGGTTCTGGGTGCTGGGTGGGGAGGCATCGCCCTTGAGTGTTGGCAGTAGAGGGGCTTTGACACACAGCGGGTACTTCCCCTGGCAGCCAGCAGGGGGCGCATGCCCACTTTGCTTCACTTCCCCCCCCCGCCTAACACACACACAGAGCACAACACAACACACTGTCCCCCGGCACATACACACCCCACAACCTCCAACAAGCCCTCTACCCTCTTTCTCTCACACACACACAAACAACGCACCCTCCAGCAACCACCTCTCCACACACACACACAACACAACACATCGCACAGCCCCGGTGCACACAGCACCGCCTGCCGCAAGCTTCTACACACGCACACACACAGATTGTAACAACCCCTGTACACCCACACCACAACCTCCAACAACCCCTCTACACACACACACAGAGTCTGCAACAACCCCTGTAACACACCCCCACAACCTCCAAAAACCCCTCTACACACACAGAGAGAGACTGCAACAACCCCTGTACACACACACACACCCCATACAACACAACACAACACCCATCCCCCCCCCCCCCCCCCCCCAACCCCCCTCCACACACACACACAGAGTCTGAACCCCTGTACCCCCCACAACCTCCACAACCCCCCACCCACACGACTGCAACAACCCCCCCCCCCACACACACACACACCCCATACAACACAACACAACACATCGCACAGCCCCGGTGCACACAGCACCGCCTGCCGCAAGCTTCTACACACGCACACACACAGATTGTAACAACCCCTGTACACACACACCACAACCTCCAACAACCCCTCTACACACACACACAGAGTCTGCAACAACCCCTGTAACACACACACACACCCCATACAACACAACACAACACATCACACTGCCCTGGTACACACAGGACAGCCTGCAACAACCCCTCTACACACACACACATACACACACAGAGAGAGACTGCAACAACCCCTGTAACACACCCCCACAACCCCTGTAACACACACACACACAGAAACTGCAACAACCCCTCTACACACACACAGAGAGACTGCAACAACCCCTGTACACACACACACACCCCATACAACACAACACAACACATCACACTGCCCTGGTACACACAGCGCCGCCTGCAACAACCCCT